GGTGGGGGAGGGCTTCCTGCACCCTGGGGAACTGGGAAGGGAGCAAGAACGCTATAGAAGGGATTCCTGCTGGAGAATCAAAGAAAGTCCTGTGCGAAGGTCAATTTGGAGAAATTGAGGCAGGGCTGCTTTCTTGGGCACAAAGTAGCCAGTAGAAGCAGACATCTGGGCTTCTGTTCTCAGAAAGCAGCTCTGTGGCCCAGCGGCTTAAAGGGGGTGTCTGGAAAACAAGGGAGCCTGGATTGGTGGCCTGAGCTCTGCCACTTACTAGCCCCCAATTTGACAAGTGACTTTATCTCTGAGGCTGGGGATGGTGAAAATGATAGTAATCGCTTCCTCTTCCTCGATTTCTCGGGCTGCCGTGGGATTATGTAACGCCTGGCATAGGGTAATGAGTAAATGCAGCTGTGATCCTGCATGCTCTGCTTTATTACCCCTCCTAGTTGTCCTCACTTTGGAGGCCTGGAAACCAAATCTCCAGCATATTCTTCAGCCTTCCTCCAGTATCCTCCACTGTTCTGTCTGGTGAGCTGGCCACAGGTTCATGGCACCTTATCTCTGGTATTGTAGCTGCCCCACCAAGCAACTCATTGGAAAAGGTCATGAGAATAGTGGGGTGTGGACGGAGGCATCCCTGGGTGTGTACATTGACTGCACTTTGGAGAAACTTGCCCCCGAACACAGTTGAGTGAAATGGCGTCACTGCGGGTGGTGGGGTGAGTTAAGACAGATACCAAGACAAGTCTCACACTTAGTTTATTCAAAGCCTGGGGCCAACCAGGGATTTCTTGCCCCATCAATCTGGGTCTCCTCCTAGGGAGGCCGGAGAAGCCCCAAAGACCTTGGACTGAATGAGGCTCTTGGGCCCACCCTAGACAAGCCTTGAAGCATTACGGGGCCACCTTCCTTGGTTACTTGTCTCTTGAATCCCCCCCCCAGTGCTTGAGTCCTTGAAGGAGGGCTCTTCGAGCACCAGTACCCCCGCCTCGAGTTCCACAACTACTTCCCCTGGTCAGGTTTCTGTGAGAAGTGTCAGCCCACATCCTAGGGTCTCTAGCTCACAGGTATCGCTGAGTATTCCTAAGTCTCTTCCCGTATCACCCATCCTATATCAGAAGACAGAGCTGCTGATTGGCCAGAGTCGCTTTCCTGTCCAAAAATAAAACTAGAGAATCCTAACCGAAACAAAACACTCCTGGCAACACCAATGGGAGTGACGTTTTTCTCCCACAAAAGACTTCTGCAGGTGTGAATACAAGTTTCCTTTTGTTAACATGGTGCTCGGGGACTTTCTAAGGATTTTGCATGAACTCTAGTGGGCGGTCCTATAGGCTCTTCCTACGTGGAGGAATATAGGCCAAAATCTACTCAAGAGAAGTTTATAGAAGCCTTAGACATACTCTTAAACATCCAAATTTAGCAAATATTTTCCCAAATTGTTCATGGTTCACTGAGAACCAGCAAATTACAAGAATCTATTGCTTGACCCCGTAGGCATCCCCCTGATCTATATATAAGTAACCCTTCTGCTCATGTTTTATTTCATGAATCAGCAAATAATTTTAGTACTTTTGGGAAAGTATATTTTTCTTGGAGCAAACAAGATTCATAGACTCTGAGCTGAAAGGGACCTAGGAGGTCCTGTGAAGGTGAAGGTCCACTCTCTGCTTGTATAGTTCCAGTGACAAGACAGTGGTGTTTCTCAAGGGGATAGAGGCTTGTTATAGAGTAGAGAGCAAGCTGGCCTCCTGTACGTCCACCGATGCATCCATCCATCTATTTATTCATTCATTCGGCAGATATTTATTAGTTGCTGGATTGGGCAACGAAATCACTTCTCCTTGAGGTTATCTCATCCATTTGATAACTAACTCCCCTGATCACGCCACCTAGACAACAGAACAAAGGAACAGGCTTTGTAAAAAATTAACTTTTTCTTATTACAAAAACAAAATGTGAATTGAAAAACTAGAAAATACGCCTAACCCAAAACACATAAATTAAAAAGCACCCATAATGCCATGAGGAAGATAAAGTCTTCAGTGGTCATTTTCACAGACTTCTTTCTTGGTGGGATAACCTTTGCCTCACCCCAAATCTCTGTGCAGTTGGACACCTGTTCCCTAAGGAACTACATTTGACATATACTCTGGTCCAACTTCTCCAGAGGTTCGAGGGTTTGTGGAACACGCCTTTCTTCCCCCAACTCCTGACCAAGCACCAGGAACTCACCTAGGACAGAGTGCGGGGCCCTCCCCAGGAGGATCATCAGTGCGTGCAAACCAGTTCCTGTGTCCTCAGGGCCCGTCTTCTGCCCTGCAGGTGAGCCACGAATGTAAAAGCCCACAGAACTAATAACCCAGCCTTGCAAATCAAACACACACGAATGACCTTCTTTCCCCTCCCCCATCCCCATTAAGAGGCCCAAAACCATTTCTTAGCAAAATGTCTCATATGACCGTAGTAGCCATTACTATTTTTTGAGCCTTTACAAATGCCAGGACAATTCCAAGCACTATGTAAATGATTTGTCTTTTTAAATCTATCTGTCCTGCTTCCTATTAGACTTTGCAGGACCAATGGTTTATACCTGTCCGGCCAGGCCTGGCACCGAACGCAATCTGTACAACTAGTGGATGCCCAATATGCTACGGATGAAGAGTGAATGTCTACAACCTCCTCCAAGATAAGCATTTCAGTTCTGGCCTCTGGGGATCTGTTTTTGAAGTAGGAGGTCATTTTGCACTCACTGTGGGCTCTGCTGCCCCATCCCCTTCCCGTTTCCCAAGCTTTGATGGAAGACACTTCAGGGACCCAGTAGAAGGGAGGGGGACAGAGGCCGGGCTTGGCCTCCCTGCAGGAGGAAAGCAGAGTTCCCTGCCCCGCCCACTGTGCATGCACTCTGATAGAGGCAGGAGCCTTCCACTCCCCCCGCCTGCCCACACACACTACAGGGTGAGCCCCCAGACCCTCTCTTCCTTCAGTGGCAACATCTAGGGGCTGTTTCTGCAGACCTGCCACTGAGGGAAGCCCCACTGGCAAGCAGTGAGAGAACATGGAGTAGAAACAACAAACAAATAGGCTGGGAGAGGTAGCTGCCAAAATAAACCAAACGCTGAAGGGCTGCCTGCCACCACCTCGGCTGGGCCCGGGCCATGAGCGCAGCGACATAAGAACACATACGTGCAGGGAGACACAGAGCTCCGTCCAGCTCCCTGCGGCTCCCCGCTCTGCTACTGGGGAGCTCCAGGGCCGGGGAGCCTTACCGTAAAGGCTGACGAAGGAAGTGGGGAACAACCTCCAGGGCTCTGATAGAAATGTCTCCAGTCTTGTCTCCCTCAAGTCTCCCCAGTGCCTCCTGCTTTCTAGCCACCCTCAGTGACCCTCCAGTCCCAGAACACATCCTGCCTATTCATGAATCCCTTGTGCATGCTGACCCCTCTGCCAGATATGTCTTCTCCCCTCTTTTTTGCCTGGCAAACTCCTATTCATCCTTCAATACCCAGGTCAAATGTGAAACCATTTTGGACCCCGCCAGGATGTTAGCTGTTGCCTTCCCCACATTTCCATATCATGGCTACTCTTACTTCTTACATAACACATCTTATTCATTCACAAAAATTTGTGTATCCACCTTCCCAATTAAATGGTGAGCTCCTTGATGGCAGGGGCCATTCTGTACTCATCTTTGTATCTGCAGGGCGCAGCCAGGCCTTGGCTCCCAGTAGGCACTCAGCACGTGTTGTTTGAATGAAGCGCTGGTCCTTCTGTAAGAAGTCTGCTTTTCTGAGTTGCCGGCAATCACTCACCCAGCATCAAAGTCCCTCAACAGGAACTCTCAAGCCAGAGGGAGGGATTTCAATAAATGAGAAGCCTGATGTTCAGAACCGCAAAGCAAACTGCCTTTGAGCGAACTAGAGTAAAATTCTGTTAGTAACCTTTAGATCTGAGGTTTTTTCTTCTTTTTTTAACTTTTATTTATTTATTTTCCCCCCAAAGCCCCAGTAGATAGTTGTATGTCATAGCTGCACATCCTTCTAGTTGCTGTATGTGGGACGCGGCCTCAGCATGGCCGAAGAAGCAGTGCGTCGGTGCACACCCGGGATCCGAACCCAGGCCGCCAGTATCGGAGCACGCGCACCTAACCGCTAAGCCATGGGGCCAGCCCTAGATCTGAGGTTTTCAAACTCTTGTGACCTCAACCAACAGTAAAAAACAATTTACATCATAACTAGTACACATGTATATATACACATCTATAACTGAAAGAGCATCAACAAAACATTACCATTTAAGTTGCATTTCTTCTTTTTTTAGTTGCTTTTAAAAAGGCCGTGAGCCGTTAAATTGATTTCAAGACCCACAAACTGGTCACCACCTGCTTTAATAAACATTGCTTTAGATGACTCCAGTTGAATAAACATAAGAAATCAGATCCTCTTCCAAACATCCAAACAAAAAAGTATTTATTACCTGTGTGCCCAGTAATTTGGGGCAGGCTCTCCTTTCCCACTAGAACAGCCCAGCCAGAAGGGTCTGAAGGGCTCTGGACCACAGCGGCTTGGAACAGTTTGTGCCCCGCAGGACCAGGAATCAAATGAAGCGTGTGTCAGGCCAGAATACAGAGTCCGACACAAAGGAGGCCCCAGTATTTGTTTGTTTCCTTCATCCTTAAACCCTCACCTTTCCCATGCCTGGGAACCACCACCAGAGAGCCTGATGCTTCCCCAGCATACAGCCATCCCAGCTGTACTTCAGCGGGCGAGGGCAGACACCTTCTCAGCCCGGCCTCCCTCTGAGAAGAAATTTTAAAGCAAACACTGGGATTGTCTGGCTTCTGTATTGTACTCATTTGTTTTATGTTACACTGTCAGTGGTAGATCTATGCTCTGTGTGAAGGCAGGAAACACTCGGGTTCCCCTCCTGTACCTAAATACTTGAAAAGTTTCCTGCTCTCCTTTCCAGAGACACACAGAATTTACACAGTGGAGAGGCAGTGGCACTGGGGTGGCCAGATACTAACACAACGTGATAGTTTTTATTGTATAGGACAATGATTACAGACCACAAAGATTCAGAAGACCCCCTGCCTGGGCCCAACAAGAGACAGTACTCCCCCTGTCAATTCAGTCTTCTGGGCTGGGAGGGGACAGGCTTCTTTTTCTTACATGGCTCACGTGGGAGGTCCATGACAGTACTCAGCACAAGGAGAGCCACGTCTGAGCTCAGCTGTGTGAAGGGGGGTGGGTAAGGCAAGCCGGCCTCATTTCAATTACTTGGGTGTGACCCTGAAGACGCGGATGTGGATGGCCGAGTTGTTGCGGATGCGGGTCAGCGGCTCTCGTGTATCAGTCTCTGGTTCCAGCTCATCGACAAGCTCCACGGTGGAGGTATTGGCAGCCACCTGCAAGGACCCGAAGCTGCCTGCCTGCAGCTGTAGGGCAATGTTGATGGCTCGGTTGATAGCCAGGCCCAAGCCGTGAATGTAGATCTCAGTGCATGAATTCTGACCCCGTGCCCCGCCGTCCAGCAGCTTCTGGCAGCGGGCCAACTGGGCCTTAAAGTCAGTTTTCATGTTGACATAAATGTCATTGGGCCTCCGGGGCAGGCGGTGGGGCAGCCTCTTCCGAAGGGTGTACTCCACCGGGTCCAGCTCAGCCTCGATGGCCCCGCGGGGCTCTCGGTTTTCTGCCATGCTGTGTGCCCTGGTACGGGAAAGGGATGAGATTAGCAAGGGTGACAAGCGATTTCACCTCCTTTCCTACTCCGTTTCCTGCCCAAAGGGTGCAGCCGGGAGGGGGCGCACTCGACGCCCTTCTTCCCTTCCAGCCTCAGTCCCCTCCCACCCCCGGTTCTCAGTTCTTATTCATTCATGACATCAACCCCAACCCCAGGCCCCCGCCGCCCGTTCCCCGGGCCTACTCTCTCCGGTCCACAGCACTCTCCGCGCGCAGGCGGCCCGCTCCCCTGCCGGGCCACTCAAGCGTTGCGCCGACCGGCCCGAACAGAGGGCACTGCCCGCGACCCCCAGGCCCCAAGAAGGGAAGAGAAGGAAGGGGTCGCGCAACAGGAACGTCAGATCGCGAGCGCCCCGTCGGCGCCTGGAAACAGTGGCAGAGTGCACGTGCCTCGTCCCCCGCCCAGGGCCGCGCGATCCACGTTTCGCCTTCCCGGCCTCCGTCCTCCCCGCCCCTTTCCTGAGCGCTCGCGCGACCGCGCGATGTGTCTGAGTAACGCGAGGCTTCCGGGGGTGACGGGGTCTACCACGTGTACGCCTGGGAGGCGGGGCGCGGGGGCAGGGGGCGTGTACCACGTCGCAGCGGGGGAGGGCCTAGAAGGGGGAGGGCCCGCTTCCCTTAGGCCAGTCCAAATGTCCCGCCCGCGGAGGGGTCTTGAAAGGGTGAAAGGAGGGAAGGAGGCTATTCTAGGGACGTGGAGGATTTGAGGGAGGGTCTTTTAAAGTTAGAGACGGTGGCGAGTTCAGGAGAACGTGATCCCGAAGGGCCTGACGGCAAGTCTGGACTCCCGCCTCCATCACAGTTCCTTCCTGTGGTCAGAGGAGGCGTGGCGGAGTTGGCAGCGCTGACCTCCGGGCCAAGGTCCCTGTTGCCCAAAGACGGAGGGGGGAGTTGACTGGCGACGCCGGGCCCTCGGCCGACGGCGCCCCGCGACTCCCTTGCAGTTCACAGGGACCCATCCCTCTCCCCTATCGCTTGCCGAGCTGATCCCCCTACCCCCAGGCCAGCCCTTGGGGACCCGCGGCTCCCCTGGGGCACGCTGACCCACCCACACTCCTCAACCGTCGCGAGCCAGTTCTGCCGCTGCCCGCGACCCGGGAGCAGGGACGTGCGCCCCCTGGCGGGCAGGGTGAAGTGGCGCGCGGGGGTCGTGGCTCCCCAAGGCCAGTGGGAGGGGTTTCCTCTGCCGGGGAGGGGATTCTCTGCCCAGATTGGTGTAGCTTCTGGAGAGTGTCCTTCGGATATGAGTTAGACCTGCATCGGGGACCTGGAACTACTCTACGCTTGAGTTTCCCCATCACTCAAATGGGGACAATTCCTGTCTTGCCACTGGGTCGTGAAACCCAGTATAACCTTGCAAACTGTAAGCCTACACACGTGCGTTGGCATTTTTATGCTCCTTCCAGACCCCTCTCTAGTTGCCTAGGGTGGAGTCTGACCCCATTTGACTGGAGGCTGGAAAGAGGTGGGACTCCTGAGAACTTCTCTCCCGGCACCATTTAAATCCTGTACTCCTTTTAGCTTCAGATTCTTTGGTTAATCACAGATTTGGGGGGTTATGCGGGGGTGAGGAGGAAAGGCTGACTACAACCCTATTCAAATTGCCTCAGAAGTGACATCTGAGCTGAGTTTTGATGGATAAACAGGAGTTCTTCAGGGAACCAAGAAGTATTCTGGAAACACTGAACAGTATTTTAAAAAGAATGGAAGCATAATCTAAGTTCCCACCTCAAGGAACTAGAAAAAGAAGAGCCAAATAAAGCCAAAGTGAGAAGGTGGAAATAATAAAGAGCAAAAATCAATGAAACTGACCATGAAAAACAATAAAGAAACTCAAAGTAAAAGCTGGTTCTTTGAAAACATCACTAAAATTGATAAGCCTCCGGGCTGGCCCTGTGGCTTAGCGGTTAAGTGCGTGCGCTCCAATGCAGGCGGCCCGGGTTCGGATCCCGGGCACGCACAGACGCACTGCTTCTCTGGCCACGCTGAGGCCGCGTCCCACATACAGCAACTAGAAGAATGTGCAACTATGACATACAACTCTCTCCTGGGACTTTGGGGGAAAAATAAATAAATAAAAATTAAAAA